AAAAAAATCATTTTTTACAGAATAGAAAAACATAGTTTTAAGTATATATTTGAATAAGGCAAAAAATGATAAATGAAAAAAATGATCCGTTTTTTCGTTTTTGTTTTTTCCGTCTAAAGTTGAAAAACGAATTATACTTAGGCTACTTATTAAAACTAAATTAGGAAAAATAAAATAAAGAACTTTTCTCGTCAGCATTTTAGGGCAATATTCTAAAATGTCTTATTTAGAAAAAAAAAATCATTTTTTACAGAATAGAAAAACATAGTTTTAAGTATATATCTGAATAAGGCAAAAAATGATAAATGAAAAAAATGATCCGTTTTTTCGTTTTCCGTTTTTTAGTTTGAAAACGGATATAGACTGGACGGAAGATACCCTGATTAATGTTGATACAGCTAATAGGCTACTTAAATAGCCTATATATCACACTAAATACTTAGATATTACGTACGATCTTCTGGACCTTTGTTTCAAATAATCTCTCTAACTGGACTTCTTTAAATTTTAGTTGAATACTCCTGCCTTAAGCGAACTACATTAGTTCTGATTGTATCTCGTCTCTGGAAAACATTTTCGTCTCGTTTTTATTCTTTGACGAACCTGTCAATACACTTCGTCATAGTCTTAGGCCTCGCAAAATCGTTTTTACTTAGTTATCGTTTCATTTTAGTCTGAAAACAAAGGTCGTTGCCAAAATTTTTTGTCAACAAAATTAACACTGCTTTACACAGGGAAATTGTAAATATTCACAGTACTGGACCTGTCTAATTCAACATCACTTTTTTACTATAGCAATAGAAATTCTTAAATCATGATGTCTATTTTACTGGCATCCACTTCAGATGTCTTCTGCCTGGCTCCTCATGCCCCTTTACTGCATAAAGGGCTGATAGATAAATGCATAAATGATTTTATTATTGGAAGGACCCCTTGGATGATAAATTAAACCTGCAAGGTGGTAATGCCAGATGATATGTTCTAGACCCTATTAATGTGTTTGCAGAGGGGGACTGTCCAGGAGCATCTTTGAACCAGGGAGTTGTCGACTTTGAAAAAACTTGACGAGCGTTCTCTAAATGTTCAGGTCAAACGAGTCGGATGACTTGGCAAATGGCGTCACTAAAATATCAAAGGTTGCTGCATTCTTTTATTATGCAGGCTTAAAAGCAGATCCACTGCTGTTCCAGGGGTCAGTACAGGACTCACTCGGATAGGTGTCTTCTGCCAGGCGAGACACAGGTAAGGGGACACAATAGTCTGGGATGTACCTGTACAATGTGTGTGGGCTATTTACTCTGCTAACTTCAACTTGTAGCTTTTCTTTATTTATTTTGAAGTTTGGGTTTTTTAATTTGAGGTTCTGTCTACTGTTGACAAGTTAATGACAGAATGGGCATTTCCACAGTAATTGTCTATTTCAATTGTGTTCTAAAATTCAGGTGAATCCATTTGATAAGCCAGTGATTCTCTAGTCATGTGAGGAGTGTTGAGGGATCTACTGTATAGATTTTTCATAGTTTAGTTTTATTCATCAGCTATTATACAGCTTCAGGGCCATAGAAAAAAAACTGAAAACCACCACATAGATGATCACAAATTCCATGTTCATTTAGTGTATATTACTAATGACCACATTTGCATCCACATAGATATTTGATGTTTGTCAATTTGGTACACATTTATAACGTTAAAACTAAAGATTTATAGGGATTGTGTGATTGTAATATTCATAGGATGAGTATGGATATAAGCACGTGCAATAAAACATCCTTGCTTATTTGTTTGTAGGTACTCCATCAGCATGGCAACCAATATAGTAATGCAGCAGCCCGGCACCACAATGGTCATGGCACAAACGAGCGAGTGGAGCTCAGGCATCTGCGATTGCTGTGATGACATGGCAGACTGTGAGTTTGTGTATCTGTATGTGTCTCTCTATGCTGAACCCTCTGTCTGGGCCACAGCTAGCTTGGATATTTCATTCAGCCAGCAGAATATCTGGAAATAAGAGAAGTCTCTATATTCTTTATGTAGAAATGCATCTCCCGCATCCGTCCAGGAAAATTTCCAGTCTCATGAGTAGACAATGCCTAAAATATTACTGACTGAAGAATCCGAAGTGTCACCAAATCTTAAATGAATTTCAACACATTTCTTTGGTTCTGCCTGGGCTGTGAACAGTAAGCACTCAAATCACATGTTTGCTAACCGGCACTACACTAAATATCAGAGGATGTGAGTGGAGTGAAGCGATGAGAATTTCCATTCATCGCTCACGGAGCGGTACGCTCCCTCACTCACGCGCCCACAGTTTTCACTTTGCACCAATGAAATCGCTCATCGAAAAGAAAACAATCTGCCTTGTATTTTAATTTTAGCTTAAACTGTAGCGGGACTAACTGAGCAGCCAAATCCATGGGTGAGGCGCAAGTTTTATTCAATTATAATGGTCCTCGCTCACTCCTGCTCCAGCTGAAATCCTTCTGCTCCTACCCGCTCTGCTCACAAGCTCTGCTAAATATGAAATAAATACATTGTTTATCTTGGGGACACAGAGCAGCATATACTGCTAACCAGTATCTTAGCAATGATCTTCTAACTCTACTTGCTAGCTACTTGTTTAGTTTTTGAAACACCTGAGGGGGGATGGAGGCCTCAGAAAGAGCAAACCTGCCCCTGTATGTATGACAGGGCCACAGGTTCACATACAAGTTAGTAAGTTAGTAAGGTGAGAACAAATCCAGGAACTTCTTACTGATTTGCCCAACTGTGTGTTTAGTGTGTGCATATGAATTGTTCTATTTGTCTGGTATTTTTATGCATTATCTACATGCCTGTAGCTATGCAACTGCTAATCCAACTTGTTTTTTTCTTCTTTTGGCCACGATTCAGGCTGCTGTGGTTTCTGGTGTCTGCCATGCTATGCCTGTAAGGTATCTAAGGATCACGGCGAGTGTACCTGTCTCCCCCTTCTGGAATATGCTGCTTTTGGTTATGGTGCATGTATTCCAGCCATCGCCCTTGCTGTCAGAGTCTCTGTACGTCGGACCTATGGCATCCAGGTAGGACACAGCGCTGCTTTTCTGAGCAGGTTCTAAAAGTTGATACTTCTTATTAAAGCAATATGCATGTCTGTTTGTGAAGTGAAACAGTCAAGTTTCTATAGGAAATACCTCAAAATCCATTTTTTCCAGGATCACCACTATGAGTACTGCACTACTGTCCTGTTCGACCTGTCACTAGTGTACATGAAGCGTAGTTGACTCATTAGAGTCTTGCTATGTATGGACATACTGAATAGCTTTTGCTCCAATGCCACTTATATTTTACTACTAGTCACTGATTGGAAGCTCAGCCTAGTTGCTTCTGTGCCAAGTTGGGTTGGAATTTTCAATATGACTCACTTTTACTTTGCTTTGGACAAAAGTGTCTGTTAAATAAATATATGTAAATAAACATAAATGTTACCAGTGAGCTCTGATCATACCTTTGCAAAGGGCAGTATGTAAAACATCCATGAAGAAGTCTTTAATATTACTATGAGAAAACACTCTAGCTTCAGCTCCTTCTGTGGTAGGGACAGCATATCCCATGATGCCCAATGGTTTTGGTCTTTTCACTGTCACAGGGATCCATCTGCAATGACTGTCTGCATGCCTCATTCTGCTACCCCTGCTCCTGGTGCCAGGTATCTCGAGAGATAAAAGCTCGACAATCGTCTGCAGCAATTGTCTACAACAGAACTGCCAAATAAGGCATCGTTCCATCATGCCTCTCCTGGCCAATCACCAATATTGCAAAATGTCAAATTGTGTGAATGGGAAGGAGGACATGTTAGGTATTCTGACCCAGGTTTCGATAAACCCTACTGTTTATGTTCAGTTCAGTCCTCCTAGTACTAATAAATGTATTAATGTTATTTGGTTTGTATCCCTTCAAACTGGGCCAGGAAGTAGTTTTCAGTTGGTATTAAAAACAAAACATAGTTGTCACCACAAGAAATCCTACATTAAAACTACAAAAAATTGATTAGTAAAACATATAATTGTGACCAGCTTTCTTTGTGTACTTATTACATGTCTTGCAACAACTGTCATTGTATGGTGTTGCCCAGATTAGGTCTATTTTATGAACAGTTCAATGCCTTGGACTTAGTCATGTGGTAAGTCATGTGAGTGAAACTCAATAGCAATAATAATGGCTAAGTAATAGGAGTTAGGGTAACTCAAACTGGTTTCTTATCTAACAAGTTCTGTCACCTTTGCATAGTCTCGCCTAGATTTTTTAAATGGAGATAAGTGCAAAGCGGTGAAGTGACTCAGACCTAAACAGTCACCCAAAGCTACAAAGTGCATCATTATCATGAGGTTCATCTTGGAGGCTTGGTAGCTGTGAATGACTCTCTCTGTAAGGCATAGTTAGATGGCAGCAGAATACAGTGCATTAAAAAGAGTACGTGTGAAAACATAAGTAACATTTAATGTGCTTGATTATTCACTGTGCACTATTCTTCTTTGAAAGATGTACATTTTTAACCAAATAATTTTGTTTCTATAAATCCATAAAAAGGGTGATTTCTCAGATTTATCTGTGACAGCAAGCAGAATCATGTCACCAGGGTGGGACTGTAGGCTTTGAGTTTTAAAAATATGTGGATAGGAAAGAAAGCAAAACAACTGGAAAAAAACACAACAAAATGAAGGTCAACGAGTACTTTGCATTTCAATCTGGAACAAAGATACAAAACAGAAGTCCATTTTATATAGTGGAATATCGTATTTCATGAAATCCATTTATCAGACTTACTTTGTGGTTAACTAAAATTCACTTTAATTAGGACGTAAGATGGAGTTTCTTGGGCTTCGATTACAGATGCATGTGAAGGATCTGTGTTAGCATCTTAGCAACATTTTCTCAAATTCAGTTAAGTTCCTTATAATTTAATTCTACAACTTTGTTATGTCTTGATTTTCACCAAATGAACAGTACAATGCCTAAGTCTGAAAAAGAGACCTGAGAACATCAAGTCAACAAGGTCATTTGTATCTGTAACCATACATTTTGTACATGCAAAATCTGTCCAGGTGGACATTTTGTGTTCACAGGTTTTCTCATTTCTGCATGCTTAAAGCATTGTACAAGTTAATGTAACCGACATGATCTGGCAAGTAGAAGAGTAGACTGTGTCTCCCTATTAGAATTTCTTGATTCCTTTGTTACTTTGTCTTTTGATCCCTTTAATAAACAATCCTTATAATATTAGCTACTCTTGAGTGATTTTTTTTGCTGTTAGTACCAATTAGTACCACAAAGCAAGAACTTCAGGGGACCAAACCTTACTGGGAGGACAGATCACATCCTAGTGCTAAAAGAAGTCAACTTTTGACAAAAGTTATCACCTTGGTGTTCAGTCTGAGGGCTGATCTGTTGATGGGGAACCCTGGTTCTGCTTGTGACACAAGCTTCTTTTTACGGAGAAGCTCTTGAGATACTTAGGTTAGGTTTGTGGGTGTGGCTAGTGGTGCCATAGGGCGCTTTCCCACTGCACCAGGCACTAAACAGTACCAAAGTCATTGGAACTTCATATTTTTGTTTTCCACTGGTGTGAAAAACTGGTAGTGGTGCTGAATGATATCCTCATAATGAGTAGTGGGGTGTTTTGTGCTGAATTCAAAAATATCTAGTGTAATATTTTATTCACTTAATTTTGCCACACCCACTTTCAAGAGTTTAGAACTTTAGAACTTCCAGTCAGCTACATGGATAATAGTTAATCAAATTAACAGGAACAACTAACAAACATGAACAGTTTCACAGAAGCAATAAGAAGCTGGAATGGGACAATATTACCTTACCCAAGGTTCATAACACTGTGGATGTATTAGACAATATGGCAGCCTGAGGTTACCTATGGTGACATTTTCGATTATTTTGTACTCTCAGTAGACATTGACAGTGTGGTGATGAAAAACTATAAGTATGGAAGCGTAACAGTATCTATATAGTGGGAAGGTTGCCCATGAACTCCTACACAAAGAGAGTGAATTCACATTCCTTTAAGCCAATGTAAACCCAAGTCATGCCAGCTGCCTGAGCCACTCAGCGTAAGTGTTGGTCACAGCCCAGGCAGCTGTGGAGATGACAGGGTGTTCCTGTATTTCCAGCTTAGGAAGATCCTGCAGTTATGCCGCAGCAATACTGTGGAAGGGAAGCTTATAAACTGTACACAGCAATGTTATATTGATGTGTACAGTTCAGTGACAGGCAGCCATGTAATCCGGTGAGTTTGTCATTGTTTGTCACCTGCACATGGCTTTATCTACGGATTTCTCATACTTTTCTGTTATAACATACAACACAAAAGGTGGAACATAGCCATGTTTTCCCGTATTTGTTTTTGGAAGCAAATATGAGGGGTGACGTTAAAATATGCACAATTCAATGACAGACAGGCTTCCTCTCACATTACCAAGAAAGTTTATCTGTAGTTGTCTATCAAGTGCATATGACCTTAACTGGTGTTGCCTCATACTTTTCTACTGTGACATGCTGTGGAGAAGGTTTGTGTTTTTGAAAACATTCTTTTTTATTAAATTTGTCACATATTTAAGATCTATTATCAGTATCTCAAAAGATTAGTCTGCATTGTGTCTATCTAAGAATATTAACCATCACGGCATGGCATGGCACAGACAGGGAAAAGATGATGATCCCCTAAATGGCTCCAAGACACAAGGGTTTATTACAGAAACTAAACACAACTAGGGAAAACCACAAAATAAAAGGCCCATGCGGGGATAAAATAAACAGGAAAAATAAAGAAAAAACTCAAAGAAACCAACACCATAGGGAAACTGGACAACACAGGGAGCAGGACTAGGAACCAGAGCAAGCTACAATACAAAGTGGCACAAACACAATGATTTACCAAAGAACAGAAAGAGGGCAAGCAAAAAATAATGAGACATGACACAGCACAGGTGGGAACCAATAACTCAATTAACTAATCACAAAAAGTGCAGGACAGCAAAAAACAGGTGAAATCAATAGCACTAAATGAACATGGAAACTGGGAGACAAGCAAAAGCTGAAAAGTATGAAACAGCAAAACAGTAGGATAACAACAATAGGAAGGACAAGGGGGGTATTTTCCGTACGTCGCTTAAATCATCCGAGATCAGATGCCTCATCTTGGATGAGTTAATGCTGGTGAAACTTTGATAGGCTGTAACAAAATGAGGAAAGGAAGGGCGCACCTTTTCATACAAGTGGAGCAGGACCTAGTATTAGAAGGATATGAAGAGTTTCAAGAACTAATATGCACAAGGGGTAACACGGCAAAAGCAGCCCAAACCAGAAAAGGCGGCTGGCAAAAAGTGGCCAACAAATTAAACGCAGAAGTAGTGTTCATTGTACTTACTGAATGCAGCGTTTCATTTCCTATGTGTCAGATTAATTATTATTTAATACAGTAAAATCAAGTTACAACGGACTTCAAGGGACTTGGCAAAACAGTCTGTTATATCCAGAGTTGCTGTATGGCCAGAACACAACTACAGGACACCATTTACTCATGCCACACCCTAGCAGGTACACTTGTGGTATAGATTATTATATTGTACATGTAGTAATCCAACTTTACCTGACCAGATGCATGACTATAATAATCCCGACTACATATCTGCGCTGGATATCACCGGCATGCCACGCGCCTTGTAGGTGGAGCCGAACAAAACTACAGGTAAAAGCGGCCCTGGGGACGAAACTGTTTGTCCGTTATAAGCGAAATTCCGTTATATGCGAGTCTATAACGAGGTTTTACTGTATGTCATAATTCCAGATCAAACATAAGCACAATGGGCCTCATTCACCAATATTTTCTTAAGAATTCTCTTAAATTTGTTCCTACAAAATTTAAGAACAACCAACGTCGGATTCATGACGTGTTCTTAAATAGCAGAATTGTTCGCACCTTTGTTCTTAGGAATGATGAATCCCACGTCTTCATAACTGAAAGCGCATGCCAGTTTGTCCTAATTAGCATAGGGAAACACCCTGTAATTTGTAGGACCGTGTGCAAGGAATGGCAAAGAGACGCATATGCTGTGAGCCGCTTGGTTCTAAGAGGAAAAAAAAACAGTAATGCTTAAGTAGAAGTATTAATACGGTAAAATCCCATTACAGTGGACTCGCTTATAACGGAATATCAGCTATAACGAACGAGGTCTGCTGGTGAATGTCAGAATCTTCGTAAAAAAAGTGCGTATGTGGGGTTTAAGAACAAATTTGTTCGTAAGAACGGTTGGAGAATGAGGCCCAATGAGAACATGGGAACAGGTTAAAGTACAAGAATATACTTCAAACTATATACTACTATAACTATTAAAGAATTGTTGACATAAAAAAATCATATACTGTATATATATATATACACACACACACACCTTGTCAGGGTCAGCCCCTGCTGTGGTCCTACCGTCTCCCTTCCCCGTTTGGCCAGCAGGCATCGCTGGTCATCCCGTTCTTTATGTTAGTCTTTGTTCTCCCCCATTACCTGTCTGGTCATGTGGCTCAATGTCTTGAGCGTCTGGTTGTCTTTGTACATTCTGTCCTGTGTTTGAATCCCACCTCCTGTTTTATTTTGCTCCCTAGTGTTTCAGTTGAGTTTGCCTAGTTATTTGTATTTGGTGATTTTGTATATGGTTTTTGGTTTTGTTCCTTGTGCCCCTGCTTGTGTCTTTACCTGTTTAAAGTCCCTAGTATTGGTTTCTGTTTCCCTGTTTCCTTGGTTAGTTCTTAGTTTCCCTGTTTTGTTCCTTTGAGTTTATTAGTGTCACCTGTGCCCTGTTGTCCTGGTCTGTTAATTAGTCTCACCTGTCCTGTGTTAGTCTTATTACCCAGTTTTGGTTTCTGTATTTAAGTCCCTGCTTCTGTTCTGTTCTCTAGTGGTTCGTTGATTGTGATTGTGTGCGATGGTTGATGATTTTGATGGTTTCAGTGTTCGATGTTTGTTATTTAGTCTTGTTTAATCTCCTTTAGTTTTGACCCCTCGTGGTCCTTTGTTTTTGCTAGCCCTCCCTTGTGTTTTTTTTTTAGTTCAGTTAAATAAACCCCGTTTTTGTTTTTGAGCCGCAAGTGGGTCGTCCACCCTTTTTTTGGTGCCTGCACTATGCCTCGTTCCCGTGCCCGAGCCGCCCGCAAACATGACACACCTAGTATGACTTTGAATATAAGGTGCTAATAAATCTCTGAGGTACAATATTCCCCCCTCGGCTAAAGCGGTATCTTTCTAACAGAATTTCCTCCGGGAGCAATAAAGGATCTTGCCGATTGCACAAAACCCTCTCTATATGAAATTCTCTTCTTATAATTTGCACACCAATATCAATTGGTCGCTCATTCATGAATGGCGAGGCAATGACTGAACGGATTTCCATGCACGGACACTCATTAAGTGTGTGAGGTAATCCTTGTTTCCGTAGAACAAACCTGCTGTGAGTAGGTTTGAGGATTTGGATGTGCTGCTATGACAACATATTCAGGAAGAGTCCCTAGGACTATAAGAATTTTGCGGAATAATAAAACACAGCAGAAGTGGGGAAGGCCAAAATAGGTAAACACACTAAGTAATAAACACTAGAAAACAAAATACAAAACTACAGGGGAACAGACACCCAACTTCAAAGAAACTGGTGAGGCCAGCCTCAGACTATAACCAAAGGGCTACAGTGACTGTGCCCCACACTCATCCCACTGAGCTATGCAGCAGTCTGTCATGATCTGCTCGTCCGATCCACCGTGTGCCATGCCCTCTCATTTACCTTGTGTGAAACCCTGCGGCTTTGCTGCCGGCAACAGCAGCACAGCCCTTTACAAAGATGTGCCTGGCTCTTAAAGGGGCCAGGTTAATATTGGATGCAATCCCGCGGGTCCCGAAGGTCCTGAAAGGGGCAACACCTGCTGCTGCACAATCCTCGGCTACAGTCCCTGCAGTTTCAGCGCTAGCGGTCGATGATCTGCCCAACCAGCATGATGTTCCTGACCCGCTCGTGCTCGATATTCTTGACCTGCCCGTGCCTGATGTTCCTGACCCTCTCGTGCTTGATGTTCTTGCCCTTGCTTGAGGTACCTGCTCCGCTTCCTGACCAGGCTCCAGAGGATCCTGCTCCGCCTGTTCCAGCTGCTGCGTCCATTCCTCTGGCTCCGGTCCTGGCGGCTGACATGTCGCCCTGCGAGGCTACCGCCCTGGCAGCTGACACGCT